CAGGCAGATCCTCAAGTCCTACAGGAGGAGGGACAGCAGCAGCTGGACCAGGTGTTGGAAGTAGAGGGGGTGAGAAGGGGTCTGCTCCTGGACATGCCTCAAGGTGAAGGAGGATTAATAAAATGGCCACACTTAGGCTAACAGGGTGCCTGTTCTTATGCTTGCCCTCAAAAACGGTCAACTGACCTGACTGACCGGTTGCTACTCACAGCTCCAGGCCCACTGTTAAAACTGAAGCTGTTGATCTTACTGTTTCTACCTTATTCCAGTCACCAAAAGCTATAATCATGCTTGGTCTCTGAGTCAATCTCCAGGGAGAAGGTCACAGAGCTGTAACCTTACAAAGTAGGCTGAATACCAAGAAGACTTGAGTGCTTACTAGATAAAGAGATCTAAGCGCTGGCCTGTGCAGAACTGGTCACCCTGGAGGCATCATGACGTCATTCTAAGTCTTCTGATGAGAAAATGATTCTGTTGATGGTTATCGATGTTTTATTGTTTGAGCGATGGCTATATATCCACCCCACCCCATCCCCAAGGTGGGGTCACAGTGTTGAAGGCACCAGTGTGCTGTGAGTCCCCTTTGCCCATCAGAATAATAAAGCTGCCTCTTTTGTTCTAAGCTCCAAGGCCAGGTCTCTGAGTTATCTGGCTCATCAGGGACAGGGGCAATCTTTTGGCAACAAATTCGTGGCGCCCACATGAGGCACAAAGCACCCCCCTTTCTAAGAGGGGCTCAGGTTCCACCCTACTGCCAGGTCAACAAGGTTCGAACGACTGCCCCTCCGGGCCGACGGGAGGGACAGCAGAGAATGGGGCCCAGTGCCTGCCAGGGCCCCTTTTGCTCTGGGGAGCCCTTCGCCCCTTGCCCTTCCACCAGTCCGCGGACCGCAGTCGCCCAAACTAACTCCTTGGAGGAAGAAAAGATGTCTGTTTCTTCTGAAGCATCGCAGGCCTAGGGTAAGTTCCCATGACGACCGAGGCCCCTCAATCGCCTTGAGAGTTCTCTAATTAGACAAGCAGGGAACTCTCGTTTGCATTTGAAATTGGTACCCATTTGTAGCAGAGATCTCGGGCTGAGAGGGCTTGGAGGTGAAAGTATTTGTAAGTCTGGAAATTGAATTTGTTTTAATTTGTCATTTGTAAGTTTGTGCTTCCATGTAGCGATGAAGGCCTGGTATTGCAACCTGAAATTTGTATTTGTACTTTGTAGTTTGTATTTGAAATAAGTTGCAATGGGGGGCGTGCCGTCTGTTCCATCTTATAGCCCACTGAGTAGAATTTTGAATGACTGGTCTAGTTATAGTTAGCCACCTATGACTAAGAAAAAGATGGTGTTTTACTGTAATACTGCTCGAGTCGTGTACACTTTAGGCTCTGGGGAACGCTGGCCTGAAAATGGGTTGTTATATTACTACACCATTCTCCAGTTAGAACTGTTTTGCCAGAGAAAAGGTAAATGGGAAGAAACACCGCATACATGAGCCTCTCTGAAAGCCCACAACGAGGAAGGAAGCAAACCAGGTACTAGATTGCTGGCTCAAAGACAAGCAGAGAAAGAATATAAAAATGAACAGAGAAAGGTAACCAGACAAGTGAGGGAAGGAAGGAAAAAGAACAAGCACCTTCCGATGTCACGGTCGCCCAAGGAACCACAGACGAGGAAGGTAAGGACTGACGGGGCCCGGGGCTCTTGGCCATGTTGAAGACCCCATAACAATTGCCACCCAAGAGCCTCGGGTGCAACTGACAGTGGAGTCGCAACCAGTGGGCTTTCTAGTGGATGCTGGCAGAAACTTCTGCCCATGACTCAACTGCTGTTACAACCTCTGGAATGCAAATTTTGAGGGAGGGAGTAAGTAATTTGGAAACAAATAGAAATCTTAAATGCCTTCTATAGAAGTCAGTAAAAACGTTTAGCTATCTGGACAGGCAACTTTGATTTGCTCCATCTGCCAAAAACCCAATTTGAATCCAACCTCTTGTAACTGATGAGTTTCACATTGTTGTACCTGATTCGTGGCTAAAAGTTTAAAGTGGAAACTATGAGGTCTCTGTGTTTGTATGTATCTATATGTGTGTTGTAGATATGCGGCATTGCCAAAATTAATTTGTAAAAGAGTTCTATTTAATTGGCTTAAAGAAAATGAAATGCTTTTATAAATACTCAGGAATATAAAAGAAACTGGCCAGAAGGAAAATCAGGTTCATGTGATCTAAAAAATACTCAGTACTGAACTGATATCTGGTATTTGAAGCTAGCTTAAGCTTATCGGTTTGATTAATATAGACATGGCTTTAGATTCATTAATGTTAAACATAAAACTATTATTGTACTTAGGTTTAATAGAAGTCCAGTAAGACCTTGTCATATCTGTTAAAATTTGTCAGCAAGAAAAATAACTTGGTATAATATTCTTGTAAGTAACTTAAATGCAAATGAGAAAGAGCTTTTGGGTAAACTCTTTAGGAGTGAGTCTTTCAGGAATGTTTATTCAAATGATCTCCCCAGGCATTTGGTAACTTTAAATTTTAGAGTTGTGCTAAATTAAGTTAAATGATGGAAGTTTATTAAATAGCTAGGTCATTCTCAGATAAAATAAGATATCAAAACATTAATTGCCGAACACTGACTTCCTTTTACAGAGAAAATAACTTATTCAGAAATGGATATTAATAAATGTTTGGTGCCACCCTGAAATATTCTGTACTATTAAGAGAAACATCTCAGTATGCTAGGAAAGTAAGATGAATGTTTTCAGTGAATGAAGGTATAAGGAATGGATTTATATTTTGTTAATGGAAAAAGAGTGACTTTGTCCTAAAGCTGGTTGCTTCTGAATGAAAAAGAAAATAAGGGACAAAATAATATAGATACAGAAAATTTGGAATTGT